TCCCGTTATTGAAGTACAGTATGTCGATCTATTTGCAATTCACGAACCCAAATTAACAACAGAACCAAACTCCGAAGTTAGGTACGAAAGTTAATTCGTATTTCGCAGATAGTTGACCAAAATGTCGTTCGTCAATTTACAAATAGTCGACCAATGTCGTTCTTCAGTTTTATAGGTTCCTGGAGCAAAAACTCCAAATGACCAAACCAAGACAAACAGAAATCAAAATGGCCGAAAGTAATAAATCAAACAAGTTCATTAGTTAAGTAAAACAAATATACCCAAAACACACAGTGAAAATAATGATATTTATATAAAGGTTTTGATCAGCCAAATGTCTTCATTTCTCCCGTATTAATTAGAGCCAGTTGTAAAAGACCCACAAAATTTGTATGAACGTGTGAAAAACGTGCGTTTTGCAGTGAGAAATCACCAATGGGTGAAGTCTTTTGATGGTTGAATCAAGTAAAACATATAAATTATTAGATATTCATTTTCGCATTGTGTATGAAGCGAGTGGTAGAGGTTTCGCTTTGGTTGTGGTCATTTCATAGAGCATTCAAATTTTCTGATGAAGATATGTTTCGGGTATTGTAACCCATCTATATAAGGCCTCATTCACGAGTCGAGCGACAGAATGTCCTTAATGATACTAAAATAACTACTGATGAACTTAGTGTAAAAACATGTGGCGGATGTGAGCTCACCGATTTTGTAGCGGTCAGTATTCGATATATTCCTAAACTTCGTATACTGCTTGTCCTGACAACCGTTACTAGATAAATCCCAACGGCGTATAAATCAAAAGACAAATACGAAGCGTTGATTACCTTTACTATCGCACCACACACAAATCCGCAAGAGCACGAAGCGAAAATTACATGAGAATGCCGATGAGTGAGCTGTGAATGCGCCAATGAGTAAGATGAAACTGGACTTATATATACATCGGAAAATGATTGCGTTATCGGATTATTTAATAGGCCAACATTGAAGCGAGTAGAATCCGTGTGTAGGCGGTAAGCAGCTCCCTGTTATACCTGTGCATACAAACACGACCATTATAAAAGCATAGTGATAAAGATAAGTTTTTGTTATTCATATGACCTTCTGTTAAATAAGTTATTCAAAAGGGCTTACCCAAATTAAATGTATACAAACTCAAGTGTATTTAAGTTGCTATAAAGGTTAGTGGGAGTTGTGGCTCTTCAAAAATCAGCACTCCAAGCTTTTCACGTTCGTAAAACCACCTCACATTGTCTTAATTGCGAAGATTTAGTAACCATTTAAAACAGAATCTGGATGAGTCACATGGAAAACAGATCGAATATCCAATATATGCAAAATGTTTATCAGGAGCTAGTATAAACCAATTATTTTCTTTGCGCTCTATTCCTTTCCTTTCGTCACGGTATTAGGTGACGTATCTTTGTCATTCAGAATTTAAAAAAGCCATGAGCATTAACTTATAATGGGAAGTACTTGAGTCTCCAGTTTGTTAGTGCTACTAAATCGGAGTTCTTGAAAATGCGAAATTGGGCCTTGTATTTACCTCAGGAGAGGCGGTTCGTTTGGAGGTAGTGCTTACGAAATGCCACCAAAGAAAAATGAACCTTCTAAGAAGAATGTCGAAAAACAAAAGCAGAAGATTGTTGAGGTAGTCTACAAACTCTGTTCACTAATTTTTAAGGATAAAACTTTTGGAATGAAAAATAAGAAAGGGGCTAAGCAACAAAAGTTCATCCAACAAGTGCAAAAACAAGTTACTCAGGGTAACAAGTCGGCTAAAGAGGTTCGCAACCATTTCCCAGTTTTATACCACGTAGTTGGAGCGCGAAAAGCAATTAAAGGAAGAAAAGAAGAAAGAAAAGGCTGAACTCAATGATTTGTTCAAGCCGGTGCTAGAGCTACAGAAATGTGCGAAAGGTAGATCGATGTACATCACACCAGTCTTGTTTCCCAGGGGTTGATCCAAAGTCGGTTCTGTGTGTCTTCTTCAAACAGGGTTTATGTGCGAAAGGTGATAAGTGCAAATTTTCCCACGATTTGACTGTCGAACGAAAGGCAGAAAAGCGTGGAATTTACTCTGAGTCTGATAAGACTGATAGTACCATGGATGATTGGGACATAAATAAATTAGAAGAAGTGGTTAGTCGAAAACATGATGCCGATAATAAAGGATTACCACCCAGTACTATTGTAACTTATGAGTATTTCTATAAGAGGTCCTTAGATATGTAAGTACTTTATTGAAGCAGTTGAAAATTCCAAGTATGGTTGGTTTTGGGAATGTCCCAATGGGAAGACATGTCATTACAGACATGCCTTACCACCAGGTCTGCTTACGTTTGTAACTAATCCTTTCAGGTTTCATCTTACAACGAGATAAGAAGAAAATGGAAGAACAAAAAGAGATAATATCCATCGAGGACTTAGTTGAACGAGAGGTATATATAAACCATAAACCTATAACCATTAGTGTACCCACTCCGTTTTGTGATATTTTTGTGTGATATTGCCTTATTTCACTTATTTCTTGCATGTGTGTTAAGATAAATAAGAGTGGTTTGTGATTTAAACTAGTATGTAATTTGGTCATATATTGGGATAAGTATCCAAGGACTTACTTCAGTCAGATTCATACTATCCGGTTTTCCAGGTTCACTTTCCATTGTTGACGGAAAGCGATAGTAGTAACATTAGAGTTAACATGCCAATGATGTGAGGGCAGGCACAAATGCTAGGCTTTTTGAATTTTCATCCATCACGTACATGAGAGTCGAACTGGAAAGCATATTCAAATGAGGGCATAAAGTAAATAAAAAGATATTTTAATACCACGGAAGAATAATTAGTATGTTCACGTTAGTGGTCAGTATCTTGGTATATCACGTAGTAGGACAAACTGCTAACTTTCGAACTTCGTAGTACGCTCCGGAAGGCTCACTATGATTCAGCCAGTACATAGACCAGTTTTTATTAAATTCTATGGTGGTCTATAAGTGATTGTAAATGTTGATTTACTAAGTGGAACGTCCTTGTTTAAGTTTACAAACTTTGGCGATCGTACAGGTCCTTGTTGATACTTATTAGGAAAAGGCATTGATGAAGAACCACCTGAACAGGCCTCTGGAGTTATAGACTGTAGACAGAAGTCCTGTGTTTGTGGGAATAATTCTAGTTCATGGTATTACGCGATCGGTTTATGACGGTTATGTAAACTGATTTCAACCATTGATCAAGTTTAACTGCTAACAATACTTTTGAATTCTCTTCTAAAGTAGTTTTTCCAACGTTGTAGTGGGTATTAGTTCGCTGATTTCATTTGAAGATGTCTTAGTCCTGTTGAATAAAAGTAATAAAAGAAGTTATGAATTTCGTCTATGACTAAGATGTTATTCTGAACTGGTGTTACTCAGGACAGGTTATACATTTATGGGGCAACATCGTCCAATTCCCCGGTATTTTTTCAATTCTCACGGCATAGTAACAAGCCAAACCCAGTTTAAGCATTTAAATATTACTTGGTATCTGCATGCAGTCCTAGGTAAATAATCCAATGTAAGTATAGGCAATTAGTCCTTAGTATTCTAGAACTGTTAGCGTCTAGTTGAACCAAAGTTATACTTTGTCAGTTATCTCTTCTTTTTTTTTACTGTTTTATGCGTATTTTTGCTTCGTTAGACTAACATTACATTTTCGGGTCGCTTAAACTGACCTAACTGCTTCGATGCTAAAAACGGAAGTCACGTCTAGCTTTTTATTAAAACTAAATTATAAGTTTATTTGCGATTTTCTACTTTTAGAGGCAAGCTCTTGGACTTAGTCAAACCAAAGTCACGTTGCATACATTTTTGGAGTGGAAGAAACGAAGGGTAATTCGTTTTCATTCAAAAATTACCGTATTCTAAAAGAGACTTCAAAAGATTGAGAAGCGATTTGCTGACAAAGCAATGCGAGAAGCTAGTTATAAACAAGGACGTTCTGCAGGTGTAAGTTGTTTTAGCTTTTGATTATTTTATGTGATTACTTGATACACAAAATCTGAAGCTGCGACACGGAAATTTTGCGCTACTTGTAAAAGAAGGTAAGAATATGGAGAAATGAAAGACGGCTAGGGAAGTATGATTAAAAATAAGTGAAGGGAAGTATTATGTAATAAAAACTGTTGTTCATTCTAAAATGCAACGAAGAAAGACTTCAGTTAAGAAGTTTCCACACTTATGGGAAATAGGTGAGAACGATAACAAGACCACTACTAACCTCAAATCTAAGCCATGTCTGATAATGTCCCAAGCTCCGGCCGTAGCTGCTACCTTGACATGGTGGTTGGGCTTGCCTATCGTGATGACCCAACCGAGCTATATTGGCTGGAACTTATGTTCCTGAAGGTCCTACCATGTCAGGCAGGTCGATTGGAGAACGATGAGACTAAAAGCAGCTACTCAAGGTCTGAGGGCGAAGTCGTACTGCTGACTGCAGAGGGGTGTGACAGCAGCAAGGTGTTTCCCTCAGACAACCAGCATGTGTAGCGATGCTGCCTCCTCACAAGGAAGGGAGAGTTAGAATAGGTCGACCCTAAAAATGTCACATCTCACCCTACCTCATGGATTCCCGTCTCCTGCGGTAAGGGTGCCCACTAAGGGCTTTTAAGAGCGGAGCTAATCCTCAAAAAACCTATCATAAAAAGGCCGTGTGTCACCGGCCTCAAGTAGCTGTACGTCGGGCTCTGCGGTCACGCAACCAGGTCTCTAAGACCAACTCTAATCCACCTTCCTTTTCAGGTTCCTCAAGAAACACCCTTCCACAGTGTGTGCAGCTGGGAACCGACAACCGCCCTCATACCCGTAACAGCACGCGAGACCAAATTGGTCAAAATCAAATCCTTCCTACACCCCCTATTATCTCTCTTATCTCCACGACTAACTCTACTCACATTCCTTTATCTCACTGCACCGCTAATGCAAACGGTGCGAGTTCACGAAACGTTATTACTGGTCTCCTGAAACCCTGCTCTAGACTACATGTTGGAGCTTTTAATGTACGGACATTGTGTCAAATAGGGCAACAGGCATCATTAGCTAGGACTTTAGAATCTCGTGCCATCGATGTATGCTGCGTCTGGGAAACGCGCACACAGGATCCGAGTAGCATCGTTCACTTGACCTCACCATGTCAAGATAAAGAAGCAACTCGATTTACCCTTCGTGTATCCGGTAGCCCTGATGCTGCTTCCCGGGGTCTCGCTGGTGTAGGTATAGCATTGAGTCGTAGGGCAGAAGTATCTCTCCTAGACTGGATACCTGTAGATAGTCGCCTGTGCGCCGTCCGACTAAACGGGACAGTAAGGATTCGGAAGGATAGGGACACTCGTCGTTGCCTCTTCGTCATATCAGCCTACGCTCTCACTGACTGCAGTTCAGACGAGGTGAAAGATGAGTTTTACAGAAAACTTTCGGACCTCCTCCAAAAAGCTAGGTATTCTGATGTAGTAATAATGGCTGGTGACTTTAATGCTTAGTTAGATAGACTCAGTGAAAACGAAGGGACACGCGGATGTATTTTATGGTGTCATGGCTCAGATAACGGCGACCGTCTGCTGCAGCTTTGTTCAGATAACCGCGTATTCCTAGCAATCACTAACTGTAGGCATAAGGAAAAACATCTTTTGACCTGGCAACCCCCAAAGCCGACACAACAATGGACCAAAGTAGACCACATCGCTATAAGCCATCGGTGGAGAGGCTCTGTCGAAGACTGTCGCTCATTCTGGAGCACTTGTTTATACTCAGACTATGCTCTAGTATGAGCGCGTTTTTGTTTGCGCCCTACTGGACGCCAGAAAAATATCTCAAGGAAACCTCTTGGGGTTCTGCTTAACGATAATAAAGCTAAGAATATATTTCAGGAACAAAGAGAAAAACAGTTAGGCGGCTAAGTAGTAAGTGATGCCCTCCCTGAGGCAGCTTGGAATGATATGAGAAAGGCTCTGGAAACAGCAGTGATATCTGCTAGTAAGGTAAACCATTGGGTTAGGGAAAAGCCGTGGACTTCAGTAGTATCTACGGAACTGACGGATACTCGAGAACTTGTCCCACCTGACTCTGAGTGCGATGATGAGCGGAGTCAGCCTAAGCGCAGGCTGATAAAAAGCCTACACCATGATCGCAAACAGTGGTGGGTAGCGAAAGCGATAGAGATGGAAAAGGCAGCGGCGATAGGCAACACTAGACAACTTTTCCGCCTTATCAAAGAAACCGGTATTAGGAACCCGAATGTGAGTGAGGCTACCTCAGAAAAGGATGGCTGTATCATTTATTCTCAATCCAGGAGATTGGACCGATGGGCAGAACACTTTAGGGACCAGTTCAACTGGTCTTCAGCCACACTTCGGTTGCCCACGATCCCCAGTCATCCTGAATGGCAAATCGATTTAAGTCCTCCTAGTCTACATGAAGTTGAGAAAGCTATAGGAAATCTAAAGGGAGGTAGAGCAGCAGGTCCTGATAGGCTTACCCCTGAGATGTTTAAGGATGGTGGTCCAGTTTTAACAGTTAGACTGACTGAGATGCTAGGTAGAATCTGGGAACTGGACGTAATCCTATCTGACTGGTCTCAGTCACTAATTGTCCCAATCTACAAGAAAGGACAAAAGCTAGGGGCGGCCAGACCAAAACATGGCACAAATCCATGAAATCACTGACAGGTGGACTGAATGATGTCGGTAGGTGTCGACTACCTGGTTGGGGTCCGCGAGATGTTAGTAATCGATGGTTAGAGACCTTAAGTGATATGGCTGAAAACCGTTTGCAATGGCGCCGGTGCGCTCATTCTTTGTGTTCTCTCAAACCCTAAATTCTTTAATTCTTCATCACTTTTTCTTTTAAGTCTATTTCACTAGATTCTGTTTCTTGACTAATATCTTATAATCCTAACTTCTCCGACTACTTGTAATACCTTTACTTCCTCTGCTACTATGGGATTTGAATTGAAAATTACATCTCTATTCTAACGTGGTATGGCAACATGAACTGATGTACGTTCGTACGAAGTTCTACGTTGCTATTGATTGATTGATTGATTGAATGTCTCAAGCCACTAAGTTGCGTAATCATTAGGCATTTGTGTGGTTTACGTAGACTCATGATTTCAAGATCAATTATTTGAGAAGTTTTTTACTGATTTTTGGAAAATCTCTTTGTAAGGTTTTATGGCTACCAATTATCTGGTTACAAGAGCAATGTAATTTATTTATTGTTTGGAATAAATAGGACAGCGCATAGTTGATGTTATGTCACTGTGTAATAATTGTGTAGTGAAGGTACCGTAATTCTCCGTAACAAAGTTTAAAGTTCAGTGAATTTCTGTTAGATCATTGTATTCCTGCACAGTTATTATTTTTTTGATTATCTGATTTCCAAAACAGTTTTAAATCTAGTGTGAGTCCCCAGTGCTTCGATATACTTTTTACTTTTTTATCTCAGTGGAATGCTACCGAAAAATCAGACTGGAAATTTGTTTGGGAAAGAATCTAATATGTTTAGTCGTGTAACAGCTTATTTATTTTCTGTACTATAAAAGGAAAACAAAGGAATATTTTTAGTTGACTAATGCAGGCGTAAACGTTAATGAGGAAACAGATAGATTATATTACTATCCTTGTGTGAGATGACCTAATTTCTGCTCTGCTGATGTATTTAGATCGGCACCACTTGTTACTTTCAGCACCCTAGTGTCAATGCCCATAAAGGATGTAACGAATAACAAGAAAACTTGTTTCAAACTATATAACAGTTTCGAAGTTGTGTTTGAGAAAGAACATTTTAACCATCAACTTTAGTTTAAGATTGTCATCTGGTGTGAGATTGATGAGTTCCGAACGTGCGTTCTATTTCCCATACTAGTCATTGTTATATGAGATTTACTTGGTGAGCCATGTTTGAGTTGGGAAATCAATAAACCATGATATATGAGTCAAAGCATCTAATAGATCCACAACATCATGCGCTATTCTTTTGAGAGTTCTGTAGTCCTCTCATGATGTTTACTGAACGGTAAGGATTGCTTCAAGTGTATTGGGCGAAGTGAATTAACATTTATCGTATCATATTGTCTTTTGTAAACGAGGCATTTCCTTAGCCCCCTAGCTATATGTTACTGATATCCCGATATCACTTTTATTCCACCAAATATCTTTTTATATTCCTTGTGGAGTGAGTATTGAAATGTGTGGCAACGTGTCATAATTCACTACTATGCTAAATCTTCAGTGCTGACGGCCTGGTGACTGACGAAATCTCAGCTCGGATACAGAGGGCTCTATTGACTTTTGCCAACCTGCGTCACTTATGGCGTATGCGTGATATCCGTTCGCTAACCAAAGGGCGGGCATACTGCGCAGCAGTTCATTCCGTTCTCTTATATGGCTGTGAAACATGGCCGTTAAGAGTAGAAGATGTTCGTAGGTTACTAGGATTCGATCATAGATGTCTTAGAAGCATTGCTCGTATATCCTGGGACAACCGAGTTAGCAATGCTATCGTTAGGAAACGAGTACTAGGTAAGGATGGCAGATCAATAGATGAAGTGGTGAAACTTCATCAGTTGAGGTGGTTGGGACATGTGTTACGTATGCCTAACCACCGACTGCCTCGACGAGCTATGTTTTGTGGTGTAGGAGTAGGTTGGAAGAAAGTTAGGGGCAGCCAGACCAAAACATGGCACAAATCCATGAAATCATTGACAAGTGGACTGAGTCATGTTGGTAGATGTAGACTACCTGGTTGGGGTCCGCGAGACGAAAGTCATCAATGGTTAGAGACCTTGAACGACATGGCTCAAAATCGTTTTCAATGACGCAAGTGCATCCATTCGTTGTGCTCTATCAAATCCTAATCCTGTGTATTCTTCAGCAACTCTACGTTTGTCTTTATAACCTTGTCTCATTGAATTATACTTCTTGAATAATATCTTCGAACCCTAGTCTTCTTCATTACCATCAATACCCGTACTATCTTTATCACTATAGGATTTGATTTGACATTTGCGTCTCTGTGCTAATGTGGTATGGCAACATGAACTTATGTACATACGTACGAAGTTCTACGTTGCAACTGACTGACTGACTGAAATCTTCATAAATTAGTCTCCTTGTTTGCATAGCCACAAGTTTACATCAGGACAGGTAATGAAGGGTTCCTATTAACTTTGTGCATATTCTACAAAATTCCGATATTTACTTTGTAAATAGGATTATTTTATTATTTCTGTTTTGCTCTGTAGTATCTGTTTTCTAAACGAAATGGTTGAAATAGATTATATTATCATCTTTTTCTTGTTTCATATTGATTAATTCCATTTATAGATAAGTGGTCGGGAGATTTTCGAGTTCGATCCAGCATTGGTTATGGAGGCGGTGGTTGATGATGATGATGAGACATCTGGAATAGTTGATTCTAAAATTCGTGATGATGGAGAAAACGAAGTTAGTACATTGTTTTATTTGTTTTTTCTTTAAGTCAAGTCATTGGTTTTCGAAATTGTGGTTGATCAATATATATAAACCCTGAACTTTCAACCACGGGTTTTCGATTTTCAATCTCTCTCCTGGTATATTAACTCTGGGGTTAATCAAAAGTAACGTTAGCTTTAACGTTAATAACACGTGTATCATAGCTTGTTTCGTTAACCTAGACTTTTTTTTATTAAGTTGCATAATATATTTGATATATTCCGGTTAGATCTGACTACACTTCGATACCATAATAAAAAAGCAATTTTCCCTCTCACTTTCGGCTACTCCAAATGACGAATCTTATCAGAAAGATTTGTTTAGTATAAATCACAAAAAGGATTCATGCACAATCTGGCTCATTTAGTCGTATGCTAATTACGTTTAGTAATTATTAATTCAAACTGAACAGTTGTCGTTTTAACGAAAGTGTACAGAAGGTTGATGAACGAAAGCCATCTTAAACCAATATGTGAATTTTAAAGTCGAGTTCTTCCTAATTTTTATCTATAGATTTAGTACCCTTAACATTATTATAGTCAGTCGTTTTAAAGTGTATCTTCAAGATATTTTAGTGTTATAGTAATACTAGCTGTAAATAGCCACTGCCAGTGAAGTCCTACTCACCGCCATCTCGTGGCTTGGGTGTTGTTTAAAAAATTGAAAAGATAAGAAGTGAGAATGTCCGGCGCCTAAACGGGATTGGTGGATACGGAGGATCCACGTGAGGGAGTTGGAAAATCCTGATTCCAAACCGATAGTACACATAAGCTCCAGGATCCTGGGAAAACGAATGGCGTTTCAACCTAATGCCGACTGGATCTCGTGACGTTGCTCCACTATCTTTTGGATTAGACGTGTAAGTTAAAGGCTCAGGTAGTAGTGGTCTCCTAAACGAACCACCGGCTTGGGTTTGAGCACCTAGGCAATATCCCAGCCCATTCATAAATTCCATTGTTTGTGTACTGCATAAATATCAAGGTGCCCCTTTGTACCACTAATTATCTGTTTAAATAAATAACTAAACTGAATTCTGAATAAGACAGAAAACTTTGAGAAACAGAAATCGTTTCACAAGAACTACGGCTTATTACATAGCAAAGGTTTAAATAAAACTCTGACATCACATCTTGTTTAGCTTGCAACATAACGAGACATGTCACATCCAAAGTTTCTAAGATGATAGGTAAATATTACTAATTTAGCTCACTTCTCTATTCATCAAAGTCAAATGTTGTTATCCGTCGTAACTGGTCTCAATCGTTGGTCGATCTTTTTCGTAAAATGAAACAGCTGTTATATATGTGCTTCAAGTTTGGGCAGATCACATACTATCACAAGGTTGAATAGCGATTGAGAGGTACTAACATGTATGGACTTACTACAAGTGAATGGATTTTTCATCCTTCTCTCTTTGTTTACGTGGATGGTTAAACAAGTGTTTAAGAAGTGTGTATTGTGAATAAGTTGAACGGGTAAACAATTAAGTCTTCATTTTGCAAAGACAGCAAACTAGTTTGAGTAACATGACTTCAAGTTCCTGGTATCTGTGATCTTATGCCTTCGTGGACATTTACATAATCTTTATGTCTCGTTAGATGTTTGGACACTTGACTATCACTAAATTCTTTGATCTGAAGACTTATAATATTAGTGAGTGTGGTGGTGAGTCAATAAGCCTTCATTATATATAAACGAGATCATCTAGTAATCCACGAGTTTTTTTAAGGCTGTTAATCTCATCATTAAAACTTATTCGCGATAGCATCTGTGGTCATAACAGAGTAGTTAATTGTGGATTGTCACCTTAATGCTTTTCACCAGTGATGCCTATTTTTATCAGTTTCGCCTGATTCCCTCATGAGTACACTTCTGAATCTGGTTTTTATTATTTTAATGTTCATCTATTGTCTTTTGTTTTTTTTTTTGTATTTTAGTATGATGGTCCTGTTAGGGATATTGATTTAAATATGTTTGCTATCGAAGAGTTTGAATGTCAGTATGGTAAGTTTATGTAATATGTGTAGATTTTTATTGTTAATCGTTCTCCTATTCTTTGCTTAACCAATTAAAATAATTGTGTATATTTGGTTCCATTGTGGTGCTGTGGTGCGAACTACTTATAAGTAGTATATGACGTGAGTGTCAACGTAATGTCTGGCAGCAGAAGATGGGGGAAGATTAAGAGAAAGGAAGAGTTAGAACACAATGGAATTTGTATGAAATGCATGAATAGTAGTGACAATGGATTGATGTTTTGAAACAGGAACAGTCCAGTTCGATATGATGAACTGATATTTTGCAAATGAACGATTTACGATATGGTTTTCCAATTTTACGGAGTAACTCAGTAATTTTCGTTAAATACAATTCGGTTGCCCCACCTGTGTTCTCATTCACTACACCATCACTAAATTCGATGAAAACAATGATAATAATAATAACAATAATAATAATATATGATAGAATAAGTTCGTGATATTAAGAAAATGTTGTTCAAATTAAAAAAAAGTATTAGTTACTGTGCAAAATTCTATTTGTCCTATGTATATATTCATGTATAGCCTATGTTATAAGATTACCAAATCTTTTTTATTTTCTATCCTCAAGTTTTCAGGATATGGTATAATTTTAAATCAGATCAATATTGCAGAAGACAATAAATAGTGTCAGTCTCAGATAATTGAGAATTTGACACCGATGTATACAAATGTTTAGATAATTATTAAACTAGAAACTGAATCTGAGGGTCAGCACCACTTTGCATATAATTCTAATTAAACTTTGTCAACGAATTTCGAATGCTACAGAGTTTAGTTTCAGGGATTTTATGCATATTAACTCGAAACACTTAACATGTCATTGATCCTATTAGAAAGTAATTTGGAGTGATTTTGATAATAAAACTGTTAGGATATTCATCCAATATCCTAAGAGAATTATTGGTCAAATCCTATTGGTCGATTTCTATTGGTCGAAATTATGGTTGTTATAACTGTCAAAGTCAAATACTCCAATGTTGTTTCTTATTGGTTGTCGTGACTATCAATGTCACTTCAAATGTTACTTTCTATTGGTCGTCTTAACTGTCAATGCCACAGACTTCGATGCTGTTTCCTATTCGCTATTCGCTATATGTGTTGTTCTAAGTTTCCTATTCGACCAAAATGTATAAATACGCATTATCTGTAACGTTTATTGACCACGACCAGAGCTCGGTCCCGGATCCCTAGTCTGGGATCCTGATTCTCTTCTGGATTCGGACCTCGTGCTTTCTGGATGCTTGTAGAACGTGCAGGCGTAACAAAACCATATGAAATTGCTTTTGAATATGGAAGTTGAAATACTAAGAATTCTTAATAGGTGAAGACGGATATTTCAGTAGCACTCTCTTTGTCGAGCTATATGGTATAACTCTGAAGCCTTCATTATCAGTTTGAACAACAATGATTTTAGCTCTTGTCATATTTATGTTGTCCAGAACGACAGAGGAAGATCTGCAATTAAACCATTCATCTCAGAAAAAATGATGATACTAAAACTATCCACTTAATCTATAGATCCCTATCATAGATACTTTTTTTTAGGAAACAATGATATTTCCCAATTTATTGCAATGAACTCAACTTCCTGAGGTAACAGAATTCCCAGTCTTCGGTATTCTTTCTAAATAACGCCTCTCACATACATTGCTGTTAAATTTAAACGTGATAATTCATAAGATTAAACTTGAAATTAAGAAAAAATTGATATCAATTTCAAAAATATTTTCAGTATATATAAAGACTAGTGAATATTTACCACACGAATCGGACATCTATTCAAAAAGAAAACCTTTCATACATTTACAGCCAGAAACATTATCACTAAGCTCTTTCATTTGTCACTAATCATCACCTTTAAGACTGATATATTCACATTGATCAATCATTATTGTACGGTAATCAAATATTGTCGATAAAAAGTTCTATCCACTTTATCAAATAAAGTGTATCATAGTTTTGCATCATGTGTTCTGATAATCCTGTTCCAATTCGATTCACATATTTCAACCAACCCTAAAGATTAGACAATATTATATCGATTACTTATTCTCTGTATCAAGTAAGTGGTGATGTCAGTTTCCAAAATGAATTAGACTATAAATCAATATTTAATATTAGTCAATCAATAATCTCAACATTTATCTCCAAAAATCTATTGTTAAACCTAATGTTAAGCGTGAAACTGTTCATTTTTCAGACGATGGTGAAACTGAATTAACAGAGACCAGTGCTATACCTGGAGTTAGCGAAAATCATGAAAATGAATATAATAATGATGGTTAGTTGATTGACATTCTTATTGGTTATATATTGTCTTTTATTTTTCACCATTCAGTACACATAGTTGTACATTTTACGTTTAATCTGCCTGGTGACTGACGAAAGCTCAGCTCGGATACAGAAGGCTCGATTGGCTTTTGCCAACCTGCGTCACTTATGGCGCAGGTGAGATATCCGTTCGCTAACCAAAGGGCGGGCATACTGCGCAGCAGTTCATTCCGTTCTCTTATATGGCTGTGAAACATGGCCGTTAAGAGTAGAAGATGTTCGTAGGTTACTAGGATTCGATCATAGATGTCTTAGAAGCATTGCTCGTATATCCTGGGACAACCGAGTTAGCAATGCTATCGTTAGGAAACGAGTACTAGGTAAGGATGGCAGATCAATAGATGAAGTGGTGAAACTTCATCAGTTGAGGTGGTTGGGACATGTTTTACGTATGCCTAACCACCGACTGCCTCGACGAGCGATGTTTTGTAGTGTAGGAGTAGGTTGGAAGAAAGTTAGGGGCGGCCAGACCAAAACATGGCACAAATCCATGAAGTCATTGACAAGTGGACTGAGTCATGTTGGTAGATGTAGATTACCTGGTTGGGGTCCGCGAGATGATAATAATCGATGGTTAGAGACCTTGAACGACATGGCTCAAAATCGTTCACAATGGCGCCGGTGCACTTATTCTTTGTGTTCTCTCAAATCCTAATCTTCTGGATTCTTCAACACCTCTAGTTTTGACTCTCTAAACTTTTCTCACATAATCATACTTCTTGAATAATATCTTCTAACCCTAACCTCTCCGATTACTTCTAATTACCTTACTACCTCTATTACTGTTGGATTTGATTTGACATTTGCGTCTCTGTGCTGATGTGGTATGGCAACATGAACTGATGTACTTACGTACGAAGTTCTACGTTGCATCTGACTGACTGACTGACGTTATTTACACGAAAAAGAAATCTGAAACAATGTTCACATTCACTCATACCGGAGTGATGTAGGATTAAATCTTGTTCAGCTTATTAATGTTTCGCTACTTAATGTGGTGATTTAAAATGGAATAGATTTGATATTTTACAAACAGATCATTATCATAAAACTTTCATATATTGATTTTATTTTTTTATACGAAATGCTTGATCGTTCCTATGGGATCACTTACTTTTTAGGTACTACTGTATAGGCAGCTTTCAATCATTCCTTCAGAGTTATATTAGGCTTTTTATAGTTCAACGTTATGTTCAATATTTATTGATTAAGCTGTATATTGGACACTACTGTTAATGTATCCAAGTTGAAATGGTATTTCAGTGAATTTTAATAAGTTTCGATTATGGTCATCTTTCTTATATTTGGATATTTTTCCGTTAGTTAAGATATTTGTTTTCCGTTACCGCCAATACTTCTACTACCTCTACCATTATGGGATTTGAATTGACAATTCGATCTTTTTGCTAATGTGGTATGGCAACTTGAACTGATTTACGTTTATAAGTGAAAAGGTCTACGTTGTTGCTGACTGACTGACTGACTGAGTCAAGGTAATACTTGCGCTTGGTCAAGATATTTTATATAGCGACTTTGTGTCATCAGGTTTTATTCCAGGATCTTTTAGTATTGTTTTGTGGTCGAATTTTTGAGGAGTTTTGGATGTTGAGTGTAATACAAACTATTTCGAAAACTGGTTTGTGATCCCACAGTAAAGTGCATAATCTACAATAAAGCAACATTTTGAAGCGTGCACTAAGATCATCAAAACCTAATGCTAATAAATGTACCTGTATCGTATTCCTTAGTAATATTCCAGATATTTCAGATTTGTGTGTCACCGATAAGTAGATACAGCATAAATACGTCTACATCATGGGTTTATAAGTCTGTTGTGATCATCATCGACGTTTTTGAATAGTAATGTATCAACAATAAAAAAAAGTCAAAATGATCTCTAATTTTTTTTGATTTCATTATATTTTATTGTGAATATATTGTTGATACTGTTAAGTAACGTTTCAGTAGTATAGTTTTAAACTCGCAAAGCTGTTACAGAATCAACCACACTAGTTGTAGTAGTAATAGTAGTAGTAGTGAAAAAATTTCGAATTGAATAATTGATATTCCAGTACTGAGAATCTAAGTGGATATCTATCTATGTCTTCATATTTCTTCACTGCATTATGCTACTTTGTATCTCAAGGCAGTATTCGTAACTGGTTGAGTTGAGCTGACAAATCACTGAAAAAGGAGGATTCACAGAGCAGATAATACTACTTTTGAATTTGGAAATCGTTAACGATGTGATGTCGGTGATGAAATCTATTCAGCATCTTAGTAAAGACTAATTGGATTCTAACGTGACATGTAACACCCGTTATACTACGTAAGTTGTCCGATATCACAGAATCAAGACCTTTGAATATAGGTTCACAGCAATTAGTTATCCTATTGGAAATAGAAAGTCAATCAATAGAGCCAACAAATCGTGATCGATGAGATGACCGTAGGTTTATTTTGACTATTAGTAGTGATAAACTATTTGTTGCTTATTAATTCAAACCAATCTCTTGCTACTTATTTTTATTGTAGATGTAGTGATAGATGAAGAATTGTTCGATGAAACAGATCTGGCTGATATTGAAGCCGAAATAAACGGATTGGAATTGGAAGTGTAGTTTTATCTAACTCTCTCTATATGTAGTCAGTTTTATGACAGTGTTGTCGTTGTTGTTGTTGTCGTTGTTGATGATGATGATGATGATGATGATAAACGGTTACAAATGAAATCGATCAGAATTGTCTTCACAACAAATTGTTTTTCTTATTTCAATTATTGTACAAAGATGCTTCTTTACACACACTACATTTTGTCTATCTAATTTTATATTATATATGAAAGTGGATGAAAGCGTTTTCAAATAATAATCTCCTGTGTATACATTCATGAATATTGTGTGTGGTTATATTTCTCAACACCTAAGCATTGTTCTTCTTGTATTGTTGTTGTTGTGAGAAATCTTGGTGTATGGACACTTGAAAATATTGGATTTATTTATAAAGAGAATATGAAATCACATTTCTTTATTATGTTTATTATCTGCGCTTATTGAATATATAAAATTTTCAACTACTTTTGATAAAATGTGGCGAATAGTGGAGTTTTTATGAGACTGATGATGAATACAACTCTCATTTTTATTAGTTCCTCCTATCAGCTGTAATCAGCTAAAAACAAAAACGCCCTACTACAGAGTAAATAAGTAAACTAACTTGATCAAAGATTGTGCAGGATTAGTTTGGATTAGTCAAGCAATTTAGTAAGTGACATTATGCATTGTAGTTTGAAATTTTCATCAATTTCTTATTGATTGTTTTATGAATTATTGAACTTACAATTTTGGTGGACAATTAATAAGTACCGTTAGATGAATGAATATAAAGCCTAGTTATTTTGATGTTTTATTTGAAGCGAACTTTGTTTCACTTCATCATCGAAATACAAAATATTTGATTTTGAAAGCGGGCTTGTACTCATGCGACTAGTTAACTCAAGTTACTTTCGATAACGTAGCCGATATATGACTTCATTTATACCGGGATTTAGTGCTTTTATTCTATGCGATTTATGTGTCAGGTACGTCATCAGTGAGCACTGTGTTTCAAAAAGCGTTCTTTTGTGTAATGCAAGGGATAAGCATTCAAAAAGAGACGTTTAGCAACTAAGGTTTTACCAGTGACAGTGAATAATTAATACCTAGAGAATATGAAATAGCGAATGGAGGACTGGTCTCTCATGGGAATCCCTCTTCGATGAGTAATAGTTGGGTCAGTGTACAACAAGGTTATATCAGTAGAACAACTGTTGATAAGCCTGAATGTGGTTACTGACACGTTGACAATGATATTGGCATTTCACCATACATTGTGGGGATTTAAGTTGGAGCAGAAGCAGTTTTTCATTCCATTCCAGTTTCTGTAAACGGATATCTATAGTTGACGATACCAGACTGGACAGTATGATGTTGATTATAGCTGTGTTGTGATTAACTAATGTGGAGTAGTGATTAATTGTTGATCTGATAGTCAAATGAAAGACTGTATGATTAGCAGTGAAAACAGCAATAATAAATATTCTTATTATTGGTATGGTGAGCAATGGCTTAATCGATTGGAGAGGGTGATTGGCATGTGGAACAGATCGTCCGTGACACATAATCACAATTGGTGATATCTTTTGGTTAACTTGATCATATTCTATCGCGATAGTGTTCACTCAGTCAATTGCTGACTAATTGATGTTATATACTATTCAGTGTAATTTATACAAATCTGATTGTTAATGTGACTAAATAAATCATGTAAAATGCAATTCATATTCATTCTTCATGTCGGATTTTTTCCCGAGTCTAATAATTTCATGTCACCAGCCTCTATTTTCTTACTACAAGTCGTTGATTTTTGAGTTTTAGTATTCATACACAAGCTAGTTAGACATATACGTAGACGAGAATGTTAAATGTGTTCAGATGTTTTAAGTTAAGGTATATATTTGTTTAGTTCTTACAGATTGTTGAAAGTGATACTCATTCGGTCGTAACTAATAGAATGTTTGTGAATATATGCGTATATTTAAGCATCTACACTATGTGTTGTTTACTGACACGGAATGGCACATCAAGTGTAATGTAATAAGGAGTGTTGGAATACAGGCTTAGTGAATATATATATATATATATATATATATATATATATATATATATATCTTACTGATTTAGAAAGCGACATTTTATTTACGATTCACCATTGTTAAATCTTTACTAGTCATTATTCAGTTGCCCCGTAATCATCAGACTTGCTGTTTGCTTGATCAAGTAAGATTGCTTGTGTTTCATTTATGGTGATGTGGTCTTGTATGTCTGTATACAAACTACATCTGCTTAATTCATAGTATAATAAAGCCTAGCTACTCAGCCTCAGGTGGGAGGATGTAAAGGAAATTTACAGTATATCGTTGATCAATAAAAAACGGACAGTTGACTTAAGGTTACTGATGCTGGTCGTGGCGTTCGGTTGGTCAAGTCAGGGACATTAAGCTGTGGAGTAAAACGCAGAGCAAATTAGAATCTGAATACTTATTGGTAAGTGTGTGAATCATATTGGTCACTAACAGTAAACATAATGCTTCACAATGGATTTATTTCTGTTTGGACTAAACTTTTAGAAATGATTTGAAGGCAATTTAATTTTCTGTGATGGAATGGAAACGATGTAGTTAATGCATTTGACAGAAATGAAGATCACTTTGATAATAGTTTGTTCAAAATTCTTCACTGGTAAACACAACTGACTGTACACAAGAAATAAGTTATTGATCAATGTTCAACTGAATTTTAAACAATCGCATATACATAAAGTGATTCTTATTTTGTTGAAATACAAATATTGTGAAGTTGATAAGTAGTCATTGAATATTTTAGAAAGACAAAATTTGTAGGAATTATGTACAACATAGCAGATAAAACTGAGAAGAACGATGTAATTTAGTGAGACTTGGAAGGTAATTTTCCCAATAGCTGGAAATATTTTTCAATATCGATTGTTTCCGGTTTTTCTTTTATACTTACCAGATAATTCTTCGCCTCTTGTAGTTTATTCTCATCATATGAACAATTCACTGCTAATCCTTTTTGCAGAATTGTTTTAACGTAACACAATAGAAATCGGCGATGACATTTTTTGCATTCATTTAAATTCGTCATTGTGGTTTTTTTCAACTCGGAAGGAACTACAGGACGATTAGAAGAGGAAACAAGATATGTAATACAAGTATCACTAATGTACTATCAATTGTACGTTACTGTTTTCCTTAAATTATCAAACAAGCTGATATTTTTAGTTTGTCATTGATATTGTTTGGTAGAACATTTCATGAAATTCTCATATCCGAAGTCCTTACTCACTGTGGATCGGAATAACAGACAAGACTGTTCTGTGAGCCTTAGATGCATGTATGTTTCTAAACCTCAGGACATCTGAGTACAACACTCAATTACTGACTTAAATTGGGACCTTATCAATTCCCCTAACTATTAGTAGACTCACTAAACTGTTAAATTGAACGAGCTAATGATTGGAATGCGTTTTTGATAATTTTGATGAAAGTGAAATGAAAACGGTTAACTGATCATCACTTCCTTTTCACGATTGGTGTAACTGGGAAGATCGATTTCCCTGATGATAAACCAATCATCACTAAATCTATCGTCAGATTTTTCTATTTGTGGTAAATAAATTTTAGACAAATATAATACTGTTTCAATGAAGTGCTAACTATAAACATTTATGTACATATGTCTAAAAATATCTGATATTTGTAAGTTAGTGGTTGATAGTGTAATGTGGCTTATGTTGATGTTGGTGAGCTTGTATTTCTAGAAGATTCAGATGTAGATATCTGAATAGTGAGTCCTCAAGACCGTTGTACTTAATTTTTTGACTACTTGATATTTACAATAGAGATTTCTGATCATCTTCATATGACATAACTATGTCTGAAACTCGTATCTCCCAGGTTGTAAGTAAAAGTGTTTCTGTTGACAATTCTGTCCTCATTATTGAACATATTAATATTGATGTTGACTGAATGAGACTCGTATCTGGTGAAGGGTATAGTTAGTGTTCCTCAACGTTTTTAATACTTTTTAGTGAGAATTTGTTTTTCATCTTGTCATCGATGTGTGACTTTCAATCAACTGATATGAGATGACATGTGAAGCAATATTTATGTGACTGTCAAGACTAGTAGATAAATGGAACTGATTTATGCAGAGTTAAGGAATCACAGACTGTTTATGATTCACTTTGTTGAATTGAAATATGTGAAAAATAATCACAAATATTATGAAATATCAGTTTAGTAAAAACATGTTAAAGTAGCTAGTATTTCATTATGGCGATACGATGAACTCACATATTCTGGTGATTAATTTCTTACATGCACGTGTTATTTTTTCATCATTGCATTCCCCTGCCTTTGTTGTTAGTGATGAAGCTGTGATAGTTATGTTTCAGTATTCAAATGGTATAAACTCACATTTGGCAGCTGTTAATCTCGCCCGCTTTATGAATTTTCGACCTTTGCGTCTCAGTAGATTATCGAGTTTAGATTCATCTGTTGGCAATACTAAGGCAATTATCTAATAAATAGAATATATAAGATAAAAGACAGTCTATTTGAATGTTTGTTTAACTTACACAAATCAAACATATCGGAATAATTATGTAGGATTTCATTATCACTTTAAAAATCTCCAATTAAATTAACAGACAACAACAACAACAGCAGTGGCAGCGGCAGTGGAGTTGGTTGGAAAAAGGTTTTCTGTTTAAATACTAGGATGTTATCTGTTAGTTGAAAAGAATTCAAATGGTTCAGCCTATTGAATAACACTAGTATTCTTTGACATAGTACTTACTTGTCATGTGACAACTGGTGTGACGAGGTCTATTGGTTCATAGATAGATATTTTACATAGTCATTGGTGGATAACTTACAATCACTGTCTACCAATCATTTTGATATACAAACTTAACGACGTTAGCTACTAACTATTAAGTTACAATTATTCCGGTGGATAGAACAAATTATGAGATGGCACTTTGTAGCATGAAGAAATAGTTGATTACCAATGAATAAAATCATTACTTTCAAAATTAAGAATAACAACTTGTTCATTTTCATTGAGATCATGAATGGATCAATGTCGGATCACCATTGGAAACGTGGATGCACTGGACGGCCGTGGATGCGCACTGTTGATGAGTCCTATATACTATGATCAAACAGTCGTTTAGTACTTCTAGGTTTTCAATGGTGGTCTAACATTGATCGATTCATGATTTCAATGAAGCTCAGCAGTCTACAAAACCTTATAATGAGAATTATTCATTTTTAAAATTTTCTACAGCTGCTTGCAACCTGAAAACAACAGTAGTGATAAAGTAAAAAATAACCAGTATGAATACTCTATATCGTACAATCAGGAAAGCTCTCATCACTGTAGATTGATGAAACGTGCAACAAGTATGGAAAATTTTCTAAGACTGTTATATGGTTGAATGCTTCTGTAATGAATTATGTGAATGTCTTGGACAAT